TCCAAATATGACTTTGGTTCTGTACTCTCTAGTTTATACATATTTAAGCATTTTCTTCTCTGTGTTCAGGTTCTTTTATGTCTTAATTATTTTGGCTTGGCCATGTTATTTAACAAAAGGAAGTCGGGCACGGTGGCTCACGCCTGTAATTCCAGCACTTTGGGAGGCCAAAGCGGGTGGATCATCCTGGCTAACACAGTGAAACCCCGTCTCTACTAAAAATACAAAAATTAGCCGGGCGTGGCAGCGTGTGCTTGTAATCCCAGCTGCTAGGGAGGCTGAGGCAGGATAATGGCGTGAACCCGGGAGGTGGAGCTTGCAGTGAGCTGAGATCCCGCCACTGCACTCCAGCCCGGGCGGCAGAGCAAGCGAGACACTTTCTCAAAAAAAAAAAAAGGAGAGTCTTGCCTTACTTTGTACTTTTCACGTTTGCCTCAGCTTTTCCTGAAATATATTTTATTCCATCATCAATGTGGTGGTCTGGCCATGTGTGAAGTTAGCTAGTCTAAGCTCTGCTGTTTATCAATCAAACATGAATGCAGGTGTTGCTATAAATGCATTTTGCACGTGTGATTAATATATAAAATCAATTGGCTTTACCTAAAACAGATTATTCGGCCGGGCGCGGTGGCTCACGCCTGTAATCCCAGCACTTTGGGAGGCCGAGGCGGGCGGATCACAAGGTCAGGAGATCAAGACCACGGTGAAACCCCGTCTCTACTAAAAATACAAAAAAAAATTAGCCAGGTGCGGTGGCGGGCGCCTGTAGTCCCAGCTACTCAGGAGGCTGAGGCAGGAGAATGGCGTGAACCCAGGAGGCGGAGCTTGCAGTGAGCCGAGATCGCGCCACTGCACTCCAGCCTGGGCAACAGAGCGAGACTCCCTCTCAAAAAAAAAAAAAAAAAAACAGATTATTCAATATAATGTGGGTGGGACTGGAGAACAACTTTAGCTCCTGCCTGAGAGTGTCAGCTCACCTTTCCCTACAAATTTCCTTCCTGCCTAGTCAGTCCCCACAATTGTGTAAGTCAATTTCCTTGAAAACTGATTCTGTTTCTCTGGTCGAATTTTGACTGACAGATATTGGTACTGTTAGTGGCTGTATAACAAAGAATATTATAGATGAGTTTTCTGAATTGATTCTGGGTTTCTAATAAACTTTATTGAAATAATCAGTTGGAAAAAAGGCCTTCAAAGCAGAACTGAGTCTTCCATAAAAAAAATTCTGCCTGTGAACAACAGCATCAGCTCTCGCCCAACCTTTCCTATGGACTTTGGACTTTCTCAAGTGATCGTCCACAATCACATAAGCCAGTTCCTTGCAACACATCTCTAAATATATACTAGTTCTTTTTCTTGGTTGATATGCTGATGGATACTGTCAGGCCTCTGAGCCCAAGCTAAGCCATTGAATCCCCTGTGACTTGCACGGATATGCTCAGATGGCCTGAAGTAACTGACAAATCACAAAAGAAGTGAAAATGCCCTGCTCCGCCTTAACTGATGACACTCCACCACAGAAGAAGTGAAAATGGCCGGTCCTTGCCTTAAGCGATGACATTACCTTGTGAAAGTCCTTTTCCTGGCTCATATTGGCTCAAAAAGCTCCCCCACCGAGCACCTTGTGACTCCCACTCCTGCCCACCAGAGAACAACCCCCCTTGACTATAATTTTCCTTTACCTACCCAAATCCTATAAAACGGCCCCACCCTTATCTCCCTTTGCTAACTCTCTTTTCGGACTCAGCCTGCCTGCACCCAGGTGATTAAAAAACTTTATTGCTCACACAAAGCCTGTTTGGTGGTCTCTTCACACGGACTCGCATGACAGATATGATCATCCCATTGCTTATTTTGGTAAAATGACATAATACGAAACCTTATATGGGTAGATTTGTCCCTGGAGATAGGCCATGGGTGATACATGGCCTGTCTCCTAGAATCCTAGAAAGATGGCAGACGGGCTGGGCACAGTGGCTCATGCCTGTAATTCCAACAGTTTGGGAGGCCGAGGTGGGTGAATCACTTGAGATCAGGAGTTTGAGACCAGCCTAGCCAACATGACAAAACCCATCTCTACTAAAAATACAAAAATTAGCCTGGTGTGGTGGCACACGCCTGTAGTTCCGACTACTCAGGAGGCTGAGGCAGAGAATCACTTGAACCTGGGAGGTAGAGGTCGCAGTGAGCCAAGGTAGAACCACTGCACTCCAGGCTGGACAACAGAGACTCCGTCTCAACCAAAAAAATAAAAGAAAATAGAAAAGAAAGATGGCAGACAATCTTATGCCACTGTAAATTTTTGGTAAATCTATGTCAGTTGTGAATACCTGGAAGGCAGAAGTGAGGAAAATAATGAAAGCAGAATATCACTATCATGACTCACCTGCTCTTAGCTGGTACTGTACATAGGGTACATATTATACATAGGGTATATGAAGAAAGAAATGAGTTCAGAAAGAAATACTTTGCTTAAGAGGGCGAAGGAAATGGAACAGAAAGGTAAGATAAACCTACAGATATTTTTTTCTCATTTTAAATAAGGAAATTAAAAAAAAAAATTAGAGACCCACATCCTAACAACAACCATATATATATATACTCAAACCCGGGTTATGGCCATCACACCATTGGTTTAAAGCAAAAAGAGGCAACACGGACAACTACAAGCCACTGGAGGGTGCTTCTTCCGCGAAGAGGAACCAAAGTATTGAGGAAGCCTTCACATTTCAAACATCTCTTGAGAAAACACCAAGGGTCAATGGAGAGGCCACGCAAACACCATGGTTTTAGAGGAAGGAAGCTCACAGCCTACTCGGAGTTGCTGGGTGCCAGGAACAGTTCTTGGACCTGGACCAGATCTAAGGAGCTGGTGATGAAAGAACTTCAGGCATCATGTTCCCTGCATGGACCCCTGTGATCCTAGCTACAGGAGCTCCCACGATCCCCATAAACACTTGGACTTCCAGGGAGAGCCGCCTGGAGAACAAGCAGAGGCACAGCTTGAATCTGGGCAAAGCCCAGGCTTCACTGTGCTGTGCCATGGTAGCAAAACACAACCATAAACGCTGATTTCCGAAGACGCTTTGTCTTGCACTGAGCATGGGACCGAGGTGCATCTGAACCACACTCCCCCTACCACCTCACTCCCACTGCCTCCCAGCACCTCCCAAGACTGCCCACCTGGCCAGTCTCACAGAAGGATGCCCACAGCACACCTCCACTGCACTGCACAGAGAAGAGTGCTGTGCAGGTCCATGTGCCAGCATGGGAGCTGAGTCCCCCCTCCTTTGCAAGACTGGACCGGGAAGGGCAGGGCCTGATAGCCAAGGCTTCTCCCCCATGGGGTCTCATGGCTGAGAATACCTGGAATGGCTCAGCAACCTGGATGCAGACAGCTTAGAGCAAGCCTAGCCAGTTGGGCCTGCTGCCAGTGTGGATGCCAGAAGAGACGCACCAGGTCAGGAGAGCATGAGCTGGGCAGGCCTCATGGCCACCTGCAGGACCGAAAACCCCAGGCCACAGGTACCATAACAGTTGTACACCACTGGTGCCACTGCATTGCCTAACTGCCCGCAGACACACCCCACAACCCACTTGACTCCAGCAAGCACAGGGGACCAGAGAGAGGTCACTGGGGAGTTGCGGATCCCTTGGTGTCATAACCCTCAGTGCAGTCCACTCAAGGTTGGGGGAGTGCAGCCCACCAAAGGCCCCTTTGGAAGAAAAGAAACATGGCCGCAGCACTACTCACTGAAGGAGTCACAATAAGAGCCTCGGAATGGACGTGGAGAGGGTATCATCTCTTACCTCTCCCCTCCCCTCCCCACTGCACTGTTGCAGATGAGGCAGGAGCACTTCCACCTGGGACCCAGTAAGCCTGTGATGAAAGAGGCTGCTCCAGCCAGGCGTGGGGGCTCATCCCTGCAATCCCAGCACTTTGGGAGGCTGAGGTGGGCAGATCACCTGAGGTCAGGAGTTCGACACCAGCCTGACCAACATGGAGAAACCCCATCTGTACTAAAAATACAAAATTTGCTGGGCGTGGTGGTGCACGCCTGTAATCCCAGCTACTTGGGAGGCTGAAGCAGGAGAATTGCTTGAACCCAGGAGGCAGAGGTTGCAGTAAGCCGAGATGGCGCCATTGCACTCCAGCCTGGGCAACAAGAGCGAAACTCGGTCTCAAACAAACGAGAAAACTAAAAATAGAATTACCATTTAACCCAGCAATCCCACTACTAGATATATGTCCAAAGGAAAATAAATCATTCTACCAAAAAGACACCTGCATTTGAATGCTTATCACAGCACTATTCACAATAGTAAAGACATGAAACCAACCTAGGTACCCATCAGTGGTGTACCGGACAAAGAAAATGTGGTATATATACACCATGGAATACTACACAGCCATAAAAGGAATGAAATCATAGACTTTGCAGCAACATGGATGCAGCTAGAAACCATTATTCTAAGCAAATTAATGCAAAAAAAGAAAACCAAGTATTGCACGTTTTCACTTATAACTCAGAGTTAAACAATGGGTACACACAGACATAAAGATGAGAACAAAAGACACTGGGGACTCCAAAAGAGGAGGAAGAAGGGAGCGGGGAAGGGTTGAAAAACTATCTATAGGATACTAGGTTCACTTTTGAGTGACAGGATCAATAAAAACCCAAACCTCAGCACCACACAATATATCCATGTAACTAACCTGCACATGAAACTCTGAATCTAAAATAAAAAAACAAAATAAAATAAAGCAATGACTGGATTAAAACTTCTACCAAGAGATCATTTATGTTGTCTACACTACTACAGAGGAAAAATAGTGTGTGCTTTTGCTACAACTGATAAGCTCAAAGTAATTAAGAGAAAGAAGAAATAGACAATGAATTGGGGAATAACTGTATCTGGAGCTACGTGCAATCAACTACATTAATTGGCCTTTATTGAGTATTTTATATGTGTCTGTGGATGGTATAAGTGTGTTATTTCATTTAAAATGGTACAAATATTTACAAAGAACATTTCACTTAAATTTCACAGTTGCTTAGAAAATGGTACTTGCAAGACTGACCTCTATAAAGAAATAAGAGTCTCATCAAAAGACATGGTAAATTGTAAATATAAAATATATCACAATGTTAAAACCCTCACAGTGCAAATCAATAAAGATAACACCCTTTGGAGAGGAAAGTATTTCGCTTTACAAATTTACTGTAAATTTACATATTAATTCAATAAGGACTACATTTAAACCTTGCACTACCACAGAATTATTTTGTGGGAAAAAAAAAGATGTACTTTTTGAATATGTGTACATAAAAAACAAAAAGTTAACTTTTACTTTTTCCTTTATTGGCAACTTTTGATGCATTTTTCGGTTTTGGTTCCCAGAGGGCATTTTTTACAAATCTTGAAGCTGCACCTCTGTCCAGCTTGCCTGCCTTTTTCTTGTCTGTCATTTCCTTGACTCTGTTCATATATACTCTGATTCTTTCCAATTCCTGCTTTACTGGATGTTCCTTAGGATTCACTCCTTGAGTTGCCAGATAAACCCAAAACATTGAATTTAATGTGTATGCAGAAACCAAATCCACTTTTGCTTGTTCAAGTGGGTCCAACTTCTGCAACAACTCATTTCTAGAAACAGACATCATGTTCTTCAGCATCTCATCCACAGCATCAATGGAATTCCCAAACGCTGACAAATATTCGTGAATTTCTACTGGATAGTCCTCATTAATTTCTTCAGCTGCCATTATGGCTGACTCACGGCCTTCGACTCCAGTCTCCTAGAAAGCGGTCCGGCAACGATGACGTCAATGATGCACTGGATCTGGAACTGAGGCTTTTAAAGTATTTCTCTACATTCCCAGAAATACATTTATTATAATTGCATCTTATGGCCCTTTTTTCAACAGAAGTAAAATTCCTGGAACATTAGAAGAGCACAAAATTTATTTTTTAAATGAAATATTCTAAGACGCTTGTCATTCTCTCAGGCTCAAAGCCTAAAGAGGTACACCAGTAAGACACGATTCATTATAACATCCAAGATCATGGGGAGATGTTTGCTCAGGTGCTCACATGATGTGCAGAAACAGAGGGAGACACAATTGAACTAAATAAATAAAGATATAGGCTGGGCGCAGTAGCTCATGCCTGTGATCCCAAGACTTTAACAGGCCAAGGCAGCAGATTGGTTGAACCTAGGAGTTCTACATATACTATATACTATATAATATGTATGTTTTATATATACTATATATATGTATATATTATATATTATGGTATGTGTGTGTGTGTGTATAGATATATATATAATGTAATCCCAGCTACTCGGGAGGCTGAGGCAGGAGAATTGCTGGAACCCAGGAGATGGAGGTTGCAGTGAGCCAAAATCGTACCACTGCACTCTAACCTGGGAGACAGAGCAAGACTCCATCTCAGAAAAATATATACACATTTTTATATAAATATATATAAATGTAGTATAGAAGTATATA